TCCAAGGCCATTGCGATGGCTGCTAGTTCTGCTGTGTTTGGGTTCTGCTCCTCCCTCGTGCCAAGGGTTACAGCAAATCTTGTCACGGTCTCGTTGGTCCTGTTGAAGAGAGTGTCTCGGGCGATGCCACCAACACCGACAATGCCTTCCTTCACGGATGAGCTTGTTGCAATCACGATGCCCTTGGCTCCGTTGGCCATCTCGGTCGCCTTCTCTCGGTCAGCTTCGATCGTCGGCTGTAGGCGAGTTGCCCAGGGAGGATGGATGAATGGATGGAATTTATTTCGCCCGGAGGCGCGAAGCCTACAGGGCCTTGGTACGCTAACTACATCCAATACGTTGACGTTCAGCCATCAACTCGTACAAGCCCTCTACTCTCTCCCCTTTTCTCACGCCACCTGTTGCCCAGGGAGGATCCGAACCTACGAACACTCTGTCGGTCGCAACTCATGTGATCAATTGACCTCCCCGATCGAAGCGGCAGCTAACGCCTCCGGGCGAAATAAATTCCACCCATCCATCCAACGTCTCTGTGATGCAGTGGCACCTCCGCTCCGCTCCAGCGACATGACCTCCGCTCATTATGTCAAACCGAAAAAACAGCATTTGGCCCGAGGCATGTCTCCGTCGCGACCGGGATTCTGAGCACAGGCCTCAACCACAGCCCCGACTCTCCGTTCCTCTTGTCACTGTCGCCACCCGCGGCACCGACTCCGAAAGCACGCCTCGTATCTGTTGTCAACCAAAGCCCGTCAACTCTGGCCAGTCCTTACGGTCCATAATGAACAAACTGTGCCCAGTTAAGCGGCATCGCCATGTCGCCCGCTCTAACCCCCATTACTGCCTCCCTCAATGCCGCCGCCATCTGTCCGTCCTGCCATCGCGACCCCCCTTGCTCAAAGAGCGACGAGTAGAGCCCGCCCGCCACCTCCACACAGACCCATCATTCGATGGCCCGAGGCAACCGACGACGTGCGGGAAGCCGACTACCAGGAAGCGCTCACCACGTGGATCACCTCGTCCGACAGCCGGTTCGCCCTGTTTTCTGCCGTCGAGCAGGCCGACAGGTACGACAGAAATGCTGCGATGTCATGCTCGATAATTGGCAGTGCGACCTCGTGCAAGACGAAGTCCTGGTAATCGCCTTCGATCTTGGTGAAGCCGAGTCAAATCGACAGGTCGGGTCTGCTCGTCACGAAAGCTCGTAGCCGCACCGAACTCAGCGTCTGAATGGGCCAACAAAAACTCAGCCATGAAGTGGCGGGAAACTCTGCTCCCGGAGGAGAGCACCCTGTGAGGCCTACCGCATATTGTTGGGACACGTCGCCAAGCTTAGCCCCCATCGGCCGCTTCAGTTAGATAAGGCCATGCAGCCATCCGAGCGAACGGTCAATGTTGGGTTAACTGGACGGAGGCCATTTTTGCAAATCATGCCTACGTCTGCGCCTCGGTAGGTTGCCTCGCGACCCGGCCGGCCGGCCGGCCGCCCAATAGACCCAACAGTCACTATCAACCCAATCAACCCGATCATTTTGAGCGCTGGAAGCGCCGTCAAAACGTAGGCTGCATGGCTGACTGTCAAAGTGAGCTTCTCCGTTTGGAGTCCTTCCGTTTGCTCTTCCTTCTTCACTCCCGCTCCCCTCTCTTCCTCTCTTTACTTCCTCCTCCTTACTCTCCTCCTCTACTCTCCTCCTCTACTCTCCTCCTCTACTCTCTTTCAAGGACCAAACCGCCAATCCAGGCCATCACCAGTGCTTGGGAAATGGCAAACTCGCCGGATCCAAAAGCGCTTGACTTCATGATCAACCATGTCTTTCTCCCCCCTCAACTGCCGCAAGAGGACGACTCAGAAGCTGGATACCTGAATACCACCATTCGAGCCTTTCGCGATTCCGTTGAATGCTTCCTGTCGGCAGAGCCTAGTTCCGCTCCCTCTGTCCGGCCTGCGGTTGACATGCTCGACCGGCTCCTGAGCACCGAGACTCGTGGCATGCACCATGTGATTTCCGACTTGAAGAACGGTGGTGTGTATCTCCCCTCTTTCTTCCCTATCAAACATCACTCATCAACATGGCCAACCCCCAGGCATCGCCCTTTTCCACCTCCGCGCCCAGAACGCCGGCCTACTCGTCACTGCCCGACAAGATGACGTTCTCTTCGAAGCCTTTGAGCTCCTCGCCCCAAACGACAAGGTCATGTCCTGCCTGGGCGCCCTCCTCCGCGAGTTCCCCGACCGCGCCGCGGTCATCACCTACGCCCGGCTCCAAGACCCCGACTTCCTCAGCGAACTCGCCAACTTCATCCAGACTCTCACCGCCAGCAACGTTCCCGTGGCCCGCCCCAAAATCAAAAAAGCAAAAACCTTCCAGCCCGAGGAGCGAGATACCGTCTCCCCGCTGCTCGTGAACGGCATGCTGATCGACCTGCTCTCTGGCCTCGGTGAGAGCGTCGCCCCCTTGAGCCGCGTCACCAAACGCAGCCGCGAGCATGTCGGTTGGAGCAGCGCCCTCCTGCCGTTTCATCGCTGCGCGACATGGTTGCTTCTCCGCGTTGCGCTGCGTCTTGTTCTCGACAGAGCGGCGGCTGCTGGCGTAGGTGGAGAGACGTCGTGGTACAAACCGCTGATGGCGTTCCACCTCGCCCGTCTCTTGGACATGGCTGCGAAGGCGAAAGATCCCCCGGTACCCAATGACAGGCTGTTTGTCATGCAGGCCAAGGTCGTTCGGCGTGTGGTCAAATTGGATCCTGCCGTGGAGACAGGCTGGGTGAAGGAGGTGAGGGTGGCGGTGGAACGGGCTAAGAAAGTGATAGAGAGGCGTTGGAAGACGGTGCGGGACAATAACTCCAAGGTGCTTCCTCTGGAGAAGCTCGCCAACCTCTCTTTCGAGAAAGATACCGCGCTCAAGCTGCCCAGTTTCCGCAAACACCTGGCCTGGATCAAGTCTCGGTCTGCTGGCGCCGCTGACCCCATGGGCCCGGGGGACACCACGCACTTCCGCCCGCTGCCACATTCCGAGCTGCCCAGACTGGACGCCGCTCCCATCGATTCAGTGATGGATCGATCTGAGCTTCTCGAGTTTGAAGCATGGGTTGAGTTTGCGCTCCCCGCTTGGATCGAAGCCCAGTTTTGTCTCCCTCTCGGCGACGCTTGCGGGTCTGAGTTTGCCGTGCTGGCCGTGGAGAAGCTGCAAACCCTTATTCAGGTGTATCGCAAGCGAGCGGTCAAAACTTACAATGGCATCCCTGACGCCCTGTCCGCCATGTACCTGATCCTGATGGAGCTCTGGGTTGCCATGGACAAGATCGCGGGCAACGCCATACCCCTGCTGCTCGACTACGACCCAGGCTTTCCGCTCGACATGTTGCATCCGTTGTTGCTTGAGCGGAAGAAGGACATGGAGCGTCTCGTTGCTCTCGAGACGTATGTCTCCCATCGGCGGAAACAAGCCGCGGGGCAGTATCTCACAGCCTTTGGAGGATTCGGTCATGACCAATCCTTTGCAGTTCGCTTTTTCAAAACCTCAACTCAGCATCAGAGGCTCAAGCACGAGATTGTGGCCTGGGCAGGAGAGATGAAAACCAAAAAGCTGCAACACTACGAGGACAAAAGGACAGAGCATGAGGCCCTGGCCCAGGCTCGCCGCGCCTACCCGGCCTGCGAAGAGGTGTGGGATTCATGGGAGGAGTGTTACAGACATTCCTCCAGCTGTGAGCGCTGCCGTTTGGACAGAGCAATGAAGGCGATCAGCATCGAGATCTTCGAGTGGCCGATGCCCACAAATCCCAGGCACGCCGACGCCGTGGTCGTGGAGATCAGCATTCCCCCGCTCGTCGAGCTCTGGCGAGAGGTGACGTGGGAGCTGGTCACAGACGTCTTTCGAGATGAAAAACGCGACGGCCACGGTCGAGGCGAGAAGCACCTCTACTTTGCCAAGAGCCACAGCGGCCGAGAGGACCGGTCGTACGCCGGGGGGAACTTCCATCCAGCATCGACGGTGAAGCCCATGAATGTCGCACATTATGGCAAGGGCACCCACATCCTCGACGCAAAGCCTGACAACATTTGCGTTCCCCACGCCGCGCATTATGAGTATTACGACGGGCCCTCGCGGCGCCCCGCTGCTGGCCAGATCGACGGTGCCTGCCTCCCGCGCAATTGCTCATATGCCGGGTTCGTGGAGGATCTGGCAGACGTGGCTGACTGGGTTCGTTATACCCGACACACCTCGAACGAGGTCGTCGCGGCCCAGCATCGGTGCCCGCTCAACATCACGCTCGACGAGTTCCGGGCCTTTGGGAACCTCCGCGCCGGCGTGCCTTTGCAGTGGGCAAACGTCCTCTGTCAGCTCGTCATGCCGGCGGTTGACTTCAATAAGAAATCGACCTTTGCGTTGACCATGCAGGCGTGCCTCGAGGCAGGGCCAGTCGATGCCAAGGTCGCCGGCTCCCTTTGGAGGGATGCCCATGGTGACACCCAGGACGAGATCTTCATGAACCAGATGCTCCAGGCTCTGGATGAGGCCCTTGAGCGGATCCGCGAGAGTTGGCAGAACGACACCGCCCTCTGCTTGCTGACCTGTCTGGCCACGAGGTTGCTTTCCGTGTCTCCTTCACCCGGAATCTCGGACGGACTGCTGAAGTATCTCACGAAGCTGCGAGAGGCATCGATCACATGGTCAAGGCAACTCCTGGAAAAGCTCAACGCCAGCAACGAGCATGAAAAGAGGCAAGAATGGGCTCGGCGGCTTCTCATGGCAGCGTTAATCTGCGTTGCGACTTTCAACATGGGAGAGGTTCATCTGGCGTCAGTTCTCAGCTCGCCCCATGAGCTTTCTGTCCTGGTCGAGGCAACAGTGCTTGCTCGAAATCACATCCCATCCTCTGGGAGACCCTCCGATCCCATCACGCTGCAGCTCGTGCACCGTTGGCACATAGTCATGTACAAAGCACGCGCCAGTCTAGCCAATGAAACGATGGACAGTGACCACAGTGGACTGGACGACGCCATCAAGCGGCTTTGGGTTGGGTATTTACCCCCGCCTGCCGCATGGACACCGCGCTCTCAGGAATCCCAACAACATATCCTGGAGCGTGGGATCGTCTCCTTCAATCTCCTCACCGGCTATCTCTTCGTCGACGGCCACCCCCTCACGAAGCTGCCGCTGGCCTATCAACAGCACAGTACCTTCCGAGAGCTTTTCGGGGAACAGATCTTGGATGTCGGGCCTTCGAGCGTCCCTGGGATGCAGTTCTCAGCGTGCCAGGATCTACAGGGATGGGTCGTCTACTTTGCGATGAAGGACGGCAGGTTGGTGGTGCGCTCTGTCCGGAATCGATCGCCTGACGCCATCACACACGACGACACGGAATGGGAGTACATCCCGCAAGACCATTTTTCAGAAGACTTGCCGGATTCGTTCGTCTACAACTTTGCCCATTGGCTCAACCTCTCGACCAACGAAGTTGAGTTTCGTCCTCTCGCTCAGAAGTGGGGAACCTCGCCGGAGAACTGGTGCCTTACCCGCGTACCCGGCAAGGACGTGTTGAGGAAGGGCTCTCAATTTGTCATCGAACCGTCCAGTTCCACAACTTTGCTCCTCCACCAGATTCTGGGCGCTGTTGCGCCGCGTTTCGGCATGGACCCCATCTTTGATCCAGAGACCAAGTCTTTGTCCGTTGAACTCCCCATGCTGAGTCTCTACTTTTCTGCCCGGCAAGGGGACGCCGTCTTGAGGTCCAAGAACTACGCCGGCATGGAGCTCGACGAGAACCAGGGAATCGACACTCTTATCGGGCTGTCCAACAAGCTGGTGCTGAAACCAAGCAGCCATGCAGGCTTCAGAGAAGTCCTCGTCCCACGAGGCGACATATCCGTCGTCCGGACCAAACCCAGCGGTCATGTTCGCCTCTCCAGCCTCGGGCTAGACGGACGTGCCTTCATCCGCCACAACGCCTTCACCGTCAACGACACGCTCGGCCAGCTGACCGACGCCGGCTCCCTCCAGAGCAAGCTGCACCTCTGCTACCTGCACGCGCTCACCTCGCACTGCCTGCCCGACCCTCTTACCCACCGCACCGGCACCGACGAGGCCCTGAGAATCCTCGGGGGGGCCGCGGTAAAGTCCTACCCGGCCCTTGGTGAAGAGTCTCGGGAGCTCCTCGCGCATATCGCCGCCCTCTCCCCCCGACGGACATACTACCCCAGTCATATTCGGGCCATGGAACAAGCGGAGTGGAACGCGAACCTCCCCACCCTATCGCAGCACGAGGGTTTCTGGCCCCTTGCCAAAGCCGTCCACGAGCATTACCACACCTCTGAGAAGCTCTTCCGGGCGGTAGGGAGCGACGGAGGCATGGCGCTCGTTCCCAAGGTTTTGGCAAAGACAGGTAAGACACGCTCGCCCGACTTGGCAGAGCGGGCGAGGATCCGCAACGCCGCGTTTTGCGTGGCAGAGTTCGGCGCCGAGGGGCACACGACGGCTAAAGATGAGTGGTACCACCCCAGTCAGGAGAGGGCAAACAACGGTTCCGCTCAGGCCAGGGAGTGGGTTGCCTACCTGGCTAGGTGCGTCGACGGGGGCACAGAGCGGCTTCTTTTCAGTCCTTCCATTCAGGGGCACACCATTTCCAGCGCCAACGGTAACGAGTTCCGAGGGGTTGAGTCGGTCAGCTTGGCATTCAACCTGACCAACTTTGAGCCCCTGTCGTCGACCATCAACGAGCGCTGGTGTGGACTGCACAGGGCGCTGGTTGGGGAGAATAACAAGTTCAGGAAGATCTTCTTTCTGTCCAGCCTCCTTTACGCGGAGCAGTCGGATCGGGAGATTGTTCAGGCTTTGATGGCGATTGCCACGATGTCGGCCCTCTCTCGAGCAGACATGTTGCCACCATCAGACGAGCAATTCAATTTGTGCATCAATAGATCGACCTTGTCACGCGACCTGCACAACATCGTCCGCAATGGCTCGAAACGGCAACAAGAGTGCCCAGAATGGCAGTGGGAAAGGGGCTCACGGGAGTCGCCTAGGAATTTCCGAAGCAGGCGAGATCGAGGATGGTCATCTAAGCGGACCGAGATGAAGGAGAAGTTCGTCTCTGCGCTGATGCGCCAGATTCAGTACTCGTGGACGATCAGCGTTCCAACCGACCACGCCTACAACACCCATCTCAATGTCGACACGATCATGCTCCGGGCACGAGAGAAAGTTGAAATGGCACGAAGGACCGAGGCCTTCGATCGGTATCTGGATTCGGTGATGAATCATCTCAGACAGGCAGCGGTCACCGAGCACAGCAACCTGCTCGTGTCGCCAACTCTCAGCACAATCCAACCACGTTCAAGACTCGGTTTCATCTCTGCTATGTCGCTATTCGTGCAACAAGCACCGTTTTCGGAGAGCCCACATCTTGAACTCCTCCCCGAGTTGTGTACTGAATCTCAGGCGGCAGAGCAGTCGCACGCTCACCTGGCCGCCCTCGTGGGCGAGCTTCAGATCGCTGGCGATCTCCAGGACCACCAGAGAAGCTACATCAAGGAGCTTCGCCACAGCATGGCCAGCCCGGGGCCCCCTCGACGCCGCATGGTTGTCCAGCCAGACGACCCGACAATCCGCCCAACTCTCGAGCAGCATCTCCAAGCAGCGCGAACGGAGCACAACGTCATCAACACCCGCGTCAACCTCGCCGCAACAGGCACCTCCCTCGCTCACCAGCTCAGCAAAACCGCCACCCTCTACCCCCGGCTCTCCCCCGTCTTCTTCCTCCAGCGCCTCACCCGCACCTTCTGGCCCAGCCTGCCGCCGCTCTGGCGTCAATCCCTTGTCAATCTCGCCCTCGCCCTCATCCACCTCCAACGGGCCTCCCGCCTGGCCAGCCACGCCCGCGACCTCCCCGCCCGCTGGAGCGACCTGCAACACGAGCTGTCCAACCCCGGCGACCACGCCAACCCCTCGTGGGACCCGCTCGTCTACCCCGAAGGCCTGTTATTGGAGATCGAGCAGGATATCCTGATCCGTCCGGTGCAGAACGCCATCGCGGCCGAGATGCGCTCCCCGCCGAACGGAAAGAACGCGGTCATGCAGCTCAACATGGGCGAGGGCAAGTCGTCGGTCATTGTTCCGCTCGTCGCGGCCGCGTTGGCGGATGGGGACAGCGTGGTCCGCGTCGTGGTGGCCAAGCCACAGGCGAGCCAGATGACGCACATGCTTGTGGGAAGATTGGGGGGTTTGGTGAATCGGAGGGTATTTTATCTGCCGATTTCGAGATCGGTGCAGCCGTCGATGGACGATGTTGAGACTCTGAGGGGAATAATTAAGAAGTGTAGGACGGAAGGCGGGGTGCTGCTTGTTCAGCCGGAACATCTGCTTTCGTTCAAGCTCATGGGGATTGACAAGAGCGGGACGGAAGGGGAGGGGGAAAATTCGTTGGGAAGGCAAATCACGCGGCTGTACAAGGACTTCGAGTCCGTCTCCCGCGACATTGTCGATGAGAGCGACGAGAACTTCAGCATCAAGTTCGAGTTGATCTACACCATGGGGTCGCAGGAGGCGGTTGAGATGAGCCCCGACAGGTGGATTCTGATTCAGGACCTTCTCCTCATGACAGAGAATGTGGCTCGCAGGTTGATGGCACCGAGCGCGCTGGGATCAAGCGTGTCTCAGAGCCTGCTTCTCGAAGACGACGCCGTTCCAGGACGAGTTCCCAAGATCCGCGTGTTGGAGGAGTCTGGAGGCCAGCAACTCATCACGGCCCTTGCGAATGAGGTGTGTAGCATCGGCATCACGGGTCTGCCAGCCCACCACCAGACTGAGGACATGCGGCAAGCAGTTCTGAACTACATCCTGCTCGAACGCCCATCAGAGACCGACATCGAGATGGTTCAGAACACCGATACGGGCTTCTTCAGCAACTCAACCACCAAAGCGGCCCTCTCGCTTCTCCGCGGCCTCCTCGCCAAGGGCGTCCTCCTGTTTGCCCTGGGGCACAAGCGGCACAGGGTCAACTACGGCCTCGCCCCGGACCGTCGGCCGCCGACCATGCTAGCCGTGCCGTACCGCGCCAAGGACATGCCCTCTGCACGATCTGAGTTCAGCCACCCCGACGTCGTCATTGTGCTGACGTGCCTGAGCTACTACTACGGCGGTCTGTCTCACGCCGAACTCTACACGTGCCTGGAGCTGCTAGCCAAGTCGGACCGGAGCGAGGAGGAGTTTTCAGAATGGGCAGCCAAATCCCCAACCCTACCTCCGTCGTTTCGCCACTTTTCTGCAATCAACCTCAAAGATCGGCCCCAGTGTGAGGGCGAGGTCTTTCCTGGGCTGAAATATTCCCGGCCAGTCGTCGACTTCTACCTCCGGAGGGTTGTGTTTCCCAAAGAACTGAAGCAGTTTCCCTCCAAGCTCTCGGCATCGGGCTGGGACTTGGCACGGTGCAAAGAGCAGCCCCTGACGGGGTTCAGCGGCACGAACGACTCCAAATGCGTTCTTCCGCTGTCGATCCAGGCTCTCGATCTCCAGCCGCACACCAACGCCTCGGTCCTCAGCACCCTGCTGCGTGAGGAGAACATGGTCCTGGAGCTGGGTGACAAAGGAGCGTCGCAGCTCACAGCCTTGACGGAAAAAATGCTTCTCGGTGCGTTGGCCAGTTCAGACCCGGAGATCCGTGTTGTCCTCGACGTTGGGGCCCAGATCATCGAGAGCAGCAACTTCCAGATGGCCAAGAGCCTGCTCGGCAACGCTCCCACGAGCAGCACTGACGCGGCCATCTTCTTCAACGACAACGACGAGCTCTCGGTCCTCACCCGCAACGGCGTGGTTGACTCGTTTCTCACATCGCCGTTCGCCGCCCACACGGATCGCTGCCTCGTGTTCCTCGACCAAGCGCACACCCGCGGCACCGACCTGAAACTGCCTGACAACTACCGCGCCGCCGTAACGCTTGGCCCGGGGGTTACCAAAGACACGCTCGTGCAAGCGTGTATGCGGATGCGCAAGCTCGGCCAGGGGCAGTCTGTCAGCTTCATTGTGTCCCCCGAGATGCAGAAGCGCATTCGAGGCCTGCGCAACATCACGGACGGTCGGCCGCTCGCTGTCTCAGACGTTCTCGCCTGGGCCATCTCGGAGGCGTGGGACGAAACAGTGCGGAGCGTGCCCCTGTGGGCGACTCAGGGGGTCCGCCACCTCCGCCAAGAGGCTATCTGGAAAGAGACAGACACAACAGGGGGGTTCACTCGCTCCAGCGTCAAGGAGTACCTCGAGCCCGACGCCATGTCCCTGGAGCAGCGCTACAGCCCGGGGCCAGCCACAAATCACGACACCATCACCACCCTGATGGCAAGCCTCAACTTGGACGCCGAGCCCAGCCCAGAGGACACCGAGCTCGCCGCGATCAAGACCAAGCTGCTAGCCTTCAGGCATTCCACCCGCACCTCTTCCTCCACTTCCCCAACCCTCCAAGAAGAGCAGGAGCGCGAGCTCGCCCCAGAGATTGAACAAGAGCGCCAAGTCTGCCGCCCCCCGCCGCGCAAAGCCCGCGCCCACAACCTCCACGCGGACGTCGTCCTCCTCGCGCGCACCGGCACCATCAGCGCCGGCAGCTCCGCCTTCGTCCCGGCCTTCACCACCCTCTCAACCACCAGCGCGGCCGCCCTCTTCGCGGCCGACCTCTCCGCCTTCCCCACCGACCTCCTCGCCACGCGCGACTTTGCCCTCACCGTCGAGTTCAGCCAGAAGAGACACGACACCGACCCCTACCTCTCCGACGCCCACCAGCGCCCAGTGCAATGGCTCCTCCTGACCCGCCCCTCCACCGACCCCGACCACTCCCGGACGATGGTTATCATCAGCCCGCACGAAGCCGCCCTCCTCAAGGCCACTCTCGCGTCCTCCACCTCCCCCGTCTCCCTCCACGCCTACCACCCCCGCCTGACCCTCTCCCACCGCACGATGGAACACCTCAACACCTACACAGTCCCCGCATGCGCCTCCACCTGGCGCCCCCCCCCAGACTCCCTCATCACGCAGCTCAACCTCTTCGCGGGCCAGCTCTACTTGCGCAACTACGCCGAGTACGTGCGGATGTGTCGGTACCTGGGTCTGTCGTACACCAAGAACAGCGGGGAGGAGAAGGTGGGACAGGATGGGTTTGTTGGGAAGGGGGTGATGTATCCGGAGTGTGGGCTTGGGACGAGTCCGGTGGGGTTTTTGAGGGGGTTGGTTGGGGTGAGGAGGGATTGCGCTGGGGTGGAGAGAACGCATATGGGGAGGGTGTTGATGGGGGGTGTTTTGGGGATTGGGGATTTTGAGGAAGGGGAAGGGGAGGAGGGGGAGGAGGTAAAGGGAGAGAAGAACGAGAAAGTAAAGGGGGAGAAAGAAGAGGAAGCACAGGAAGAGAAGAAAGAGGAGGTGTGGGAAGTGAAGGAAGAGGAGGTGTGGGAAGTGAAGGAGGAAAAGGAGGAGGAAGAGCAGGAAGGGGAAGGGGAGATTGAGGTCAAGTTGGAAACGGGCTTGGATGTTCTGTGATTCAGGATGAGAATATGTGATGTACTCAGGTTCGAATAGCTTGATTTCTGTCAATGTCTAGAATTGTGTATCAAATCACCTTTTCCCTTCTTCACCCCTTGCCCAAAGTCCAGACTGCCTCCCGTCCTCTTGTGTTCCCAGGTCTACTCAATGCAGTGCGAACTGTGTCCATGGCACGACCGTTTTCCCAATTTCCCAATTAGCACAAAACATTCAGCCTCCTGAATCAAACGCATATTTTGCTGATGAGAACCATAGCCAACAGCCCGCAATGGGGCGACCTCGTCAGCATGTGGAGAAGACTCGGCTTGGACACGAACATGGTACGCCACTCGATGTAGGCATAAGATTTAGCCCAGCTAAAATTTCCAAGTCGGGAGGAGTAGAAACAGGAGTTAGCCCAGCTAAAATCTCGAATCTGTCCTGGCTCTAATGCTCCGATCTCTAATTCAAGTCCCAGCTTCGTAGATGCACACTTTGCTTCGGGCGTTTATCCGGTCGAAGTAGGTTGTTAAATATGCACTTAAGGGCATGTCTTATCCAAATAGATGGTTTTAAATCCCGAGTCGAAATCACAAGGTCTATGCCTTGTCTTCGCAGCTGGGCACATTTCGTGCACCTCTCGCGGTCCCCAATGACGATACTCTCGAAACCATTTATTAGCCCATTTGCACATTGTTATCTTAAGCAATTGTTAGCCAAGTAACTTAACCTGGAATGATTTTTTACTTAGCTATTTACTTGACCAATAGAAGGTGCTAATTGCAACAAGGTAGAGTTTCTGATTTTCCTATAACGTAAATTTGGATGTAGCCAACCTTAGTATCAATGCAAATCCATGTTTTGTTGTCGAGGATAAATTGTTTAACAAGGTGGAAATACCATGGAAAACGCTTGCAGTTGGATCGCGACAAGACAGAACTTGAACTGGAGGCGCCGATGCTCAAGACGCGGAGCATTGCCGAGCAGAACAAGTGTGCCGCCAAGGACATGGTGAAGGAGAACTATGATCGTTGTAAGTGACCTAGTGCGGCAGTTGGGTGTGGTGAGATCGGACGCGATACTAAACCCACGGTGGTTGGCCCATACACTTATAGAGTGAGAGAGGCCTTGTGGTGATTTGCAGTTGACTCTTGAATATAACACATCGTCACACAGGGCACACAGAATGACCAGCAAATGTGGGGCCTTGCTGTCACCTCTGATTTGTGTATGGGCGGGCCGATAACCCAGACGGTGTGCATGATGGCTGAAGGCCTACGGTTCATGCGCCGAGAAATTGTTAGGTCTTGCTCGCTGAGTACGGGTATGCTCTATTTCGCCTTCTACTGCCACACCGCCTCACAGAATTCTCACGTCCTCTGCAACCAGATAAACCGACGACCGCATCCTGGATTCTTTCCGCGGCTTGAATAACTTCACGTCGTCGGTGAAAGTGGCGAATGTGTGCATCAAGACCCATTGACCGTCAGCACGGCTGAAGAAAGATTAGCTGATTCCCTAGAATTCCCCGAGAGCCGAGGACCTGCTCTGCCGTAATGACACGCTAATCCGTCGACCGTCCAGTCAGGGCGTTCAATTCATTGCCGGCAGTTTGGCTGAGGTACCTTAGAGAACAACAACAGCCCTTGGACTCAGTGAAGTATCTTACCCTTGTACTTGATAGCGATCCTGCCAACTCTAGTGCTCAAGGCCAGAAGCAGGCGCATCTGTTCCGCATAGATGTCATTGCCTGCCTCGGCTTGATGCTGGCGCCGAGCGGCCTGCAGTATTTTCTCAGCCGACCAGTTGCGCCCGTAGCCTACTACAGCCCTCAGAAAAGCTGGAAAAAATTCGTCCCATCGCTCGTGGAGGTCTGATGCACCCTGCATGTTGCTGGCGATGAGAGCCGCCTCCTTGCGGGCGTTGTCGGCGACGGCGTTGAATGCAGCAGACACCTCGGCGTGTTCAAGATGTTGGAACCTGCAGGGCGACGACCGCTGAGATATGCGCTGGAAGAAGCTATTCCCAGTCAAAGCAGTGGATTGAATTTTTTAAGGTGGTAAAAGTGATTGATTGACCATGCTGTTGATGGGCACGGGAGTGGACTAAGAATGTAAGGAAGAGGGGTTGCAGTGCTGGCACCAATCAACCACCGAGGTCCGTTGAATGCAGCCATCAAGGCGGCTTCGTTCCGACACAAGATAGCTGAAGACTCCCAGGGTCTGGAAAGCGAGCCCAGAGAATGGGTGGTTAGTCAGTCACCCCGCCAAAGCCGGAGTAGCAGAGGTGGAAACCGGCCGGGAAGATCGCGAAACGTCCAACAAAGACCTGGTTTTGACGAGAAAATGTTGGATTGAAGGAACACGGACAAGTAGGTACTCACCGCCTTGAGCTTACCTAGATATTATCGCCATGGCAGCCTCGCGATTGCCAGCTGCCCCCTCTTTCAACGCCTTGTTGAAAACTGCCTTAGCCATCGGTTCGGAGAACTCGAACAGCTTGCCCTTGACCTGATTCATGTTTCTGTCTGCAAGTAACAGATTGAATATATTGGTGTTGGAACCCCAGGCCTCGAACATCCGTTTCATGGCAATCCGAATTTCGGGCGACGTCGGCGAGACACGTGGAAGGCCGGCAGGGAGCATCCCGTCTTGCATGAACGTGTTGCTCCACCACTCGGCGGGAATCTCAGTGGCGAACTTGGAGACGATGCCGCCGGGCAGTATGCCCTCTATGCAACTCTGAACAAATTGCGGGAGGACTTGCAGCTATTCAGAAGAGAGCGCAATCGATGCGGGTTAGTCTGGGGTCCAGCCACATGCATCATTGGAGCTGAACCAGTACCAGGCTACCAGCAGGACCAAACCATGGACGAGTTGGACCAGTGGTAATCAGGGCGGGCGGGATATCAAGAAACTTGAAGGAACTGGGAAACGGACGTACGTCAATGGGGTGCTCCGTATCGAGAGGTCTCGGCACGGCGTCGGCGCTGATGGCCGTGAACTTGGCCATGTCCGTCTCGTACTTGTCACAGACATTCTTTCCTGCCCACCAAGCAACTGACCCTGATTTTGCCAGGGCCTTGGTGATGAATTCTCCGCGTGAAGGATAGCCTAGGGACTTCAGCTTCCTGACGCCATTCCGCGCTCCAATGGCACCCTCCCTTGGCCAGGGTGTACTCGATTGCCTCGCAGCAGAAGGCCTTGTTTCACCTCTTGCACTTGTCCGGCTTGTCCCCCCAAACCGACGGCCAGAGCTGTACCTCCCCAGGTTGACACTGGCCGTTGCACCCGCCGTCCGATTATCCACCGCGCCACGCACACTTCGTCACGGCCTCTCGCGCGGGGCAGCAGATGGAGCGCCCGTAATAGCCCCCGCCGCCCTCGCATCCGGCCTTGTCCCACCCGAGCTTGACCTCGAAGGGCTCGCACCGGGACTCGTCGCTCCGGTCCTGGCGAGCGCAAGACGGAGCCAGGTGGCAGACGGGTCCAGCTTGTCATAGGTAGGACCGATCCAGTCAAACCCCATGCCTCCCGTGAGCTGTCCCGCGGTGAGGGCTTTCGTGGCGGCCAGCTTGGTCGGAAACTGGAAGAACACGCCTCATTGGGGACGCCGACCGTGCGCTCTGCGTCTGCGTCGGCGACGGGACAGGCCCTGCAACCACAACCACTTCAGCGGCAAACTCGGGCTCCGCCACGTCTACCCGAACTTTGTCTTCTATAGCCCCGGCATCTTCCGCCCCTGGGACCGTCTGTATCTCTGGAAGTGACGCGGGCAATCCTAACCAGGCCGGCCTGTGCTCGTTCGCCTGCCACTACGGACACTGCCCGGCGGGGCCGTGTGTGTGTCTGGTCTACGGCGCGCAGGTTCCTGAGCCGCCTGTCACTGGGGTGGCGGGATACCCGCTAGCCGGCTTGGACGCCTCGTATATTGGTCTCTGCGGCTACGTGTACGACCATGGGTATTATCCCACGGGGGCTTGCACGTCGAATCCCGACGGCAGTCCCCAGACTTAGACTGGGTACCTCAGGTAGATAGGGAGACTTGTATGTAGATTAGGTATTTCGAGCTGCAGGTAGATGGCCTGATCGCTACTCCCGGAGGTGCACGCTCTTTGCGGGCTCAGTTGCACCCGACTCCTTAGGCTTAGCTCGCTCCGAAACCTGAGTCCCAACGTGTCTCTCCATTGAGCGTGACCGTAACAGCAAGGCGATCAAAGCTATCGAGCTTCTCCTCAGGATGTGTTGTACATCGTAAAGGCAGGTCGGTTCGAGTAAGCTAAGTTGGCAACTCAGCGCACGAAAATGTTGTCGCCAAACTGTGCGAGGCAATACCACAGGTCTTGGCTGACTTGGAGGTCGGCATACACACCAACCAGATCATCGATCCTGACGCGCTTGCATATATCCTCCATGTCTTCCTCCTCCAGTCTCCGCCCCCCATCCCAGAGATACTCACCATTCCCTAGAGCCTCTACCCCGTTAAAGAACACATTGTTCGCTCTCACCACCGTGCAAAAGTACCCGCCCTTTTCCCTCGCCCTCGCGTCGTCCACCACGCTCTCCAGGCTCTCCTCGTCGACGTGCAAGAAGAAAGTGTGCCTCGGCGTGTCAACACAGTCTGGCGGGAAGTTGCAGAACACACTGCCCGCCAGCTCCCGGCCGCCCGGGCCCCGCTCCACCCAGTCCATGAACCGGCGGCTCGTCTCGACTATGTCAGCGCCGTCGAGCCCGGCCGGGTTCTCGAAGACGGTCCAGCGCATGCGAGCGTAGACGTGCATTAGCCCGGCCTCCTCGAAGGGGTCGCGGGCGTGCCCCCAAACAAGGGCGGCAAACTTGTCCCATTTCTCCTGGGATCGGTAGGTGCAGCGGAACAGGACAAAGCCCCAGTCGTTGAGCCTGTACAGATCGAGGGCGTCCTTGATTTTGTGGGCGTCGCCGAGTTGGGATGCGACAAGGTTGGGCGTGAACTCAGGCTCGGCTTCTCGGGGACGTGATGATTGTGCCTCCGTGTTCTGCATTGCAGCAGCGGCTGGGAGCGGAGCTGCGGGATCGGGGTGCGGCTTTGTTGAGAAGAATGCTCGAGCCGGAGCCGGAGCTTGCACGCGGGGAGGAATGAGCTGCCGTGGCATCTTGGAAGAGATGTTGACACCGGGAACAGGGCCATGGACGGGCTGCATCCACGCTATCAGCGCGCGCGGGATTTTGGAAGCCATGGAGTCGGGGCTTGGTTGGCACTACGAAGTAGACGCGTCCAGTCGGTCAAAGTCTAGCATCGGGATTGTTGGATTGGCAACAGCTATAGGCGAGGACGACTGATTCATACGGATCAACAGTGAATGTATCAAACGATGGATATTGGTATAGTTGCATACAGAAGAAGAGCGAGAGGCTCGGGACGGCCACATGTTCGTGGTCGCTAGACCCGGTCAAATAAGGCTGTGCCTCCCAAACGTCAGGTCCACCCCACTTTTATCTGGCTGCCACCTAAATCTCTAAAAAAAAAATGGCCAGCCTCCCAGCATATAGAAGCCGATAACGTATTTATAAGCGAGTGTGCCTGACAAGCAAGCGTGCCAGACAAGCGAGCGTGCCACTTAGGTATTTTTTTGCCTTTAGTAGATAGTTAACTAATCTGTATACAAAGACCAACTTGAATGATGGGCTCTCGGAGCACTAGTATCTACAAATCTGAAGTGTATTGGGTAGTTGGCTATGACGACACATTTTGGAGGACTAACCAGTACATAGATCGGCAGACACAGTAGTACCAGAAACCCCAGTCTGCTCTGGGTGTCCGAGTTTAGCTCCAATTCCAGCTCACCCTTCTTTCTCTTTCTTGTTTTCAGCTTCTCCCAGGCTCCTCTCTGATCCTTCTCTCTCCGGCTTACAAGCATCCTTGCTCGGCTGTGAAAGAGAACTCTTGCATTGGATGTACCAAGCCTAACGCTTCGCCGCAATGAAGTTCGGCTATGGCACGAACACCAGTTTGATCACCACGCTCTGGGGAACCAGCAGCTAAGAATTCTTGAGCGCAAGGTGCAATGGCCACTGGCGGCACACACCACCCAGGGAGGTCAACGGTTCGTGGATTGTCATACACAGTAGTACCAGAAACCCCAGTTCTGCTCTGAGGTAGAGGTTCGGTTTCGATTCCTTCGAGGTCCGGTGTGCTTTTTCCTAGTTTTTATTCTCCTTTTCCTTTTTTTGTTCTCTTCGTTTCTCCTCATCTTCTGCAGTTTTCCAGTCCCATGACCCACACTGCTCATCCTTCTCTAAGATTATCTCACTCGGGAACTTGGAAACAAAGCTGAAGCAACAGCACAGAATCATTTTCATTGCCTCTTGATGTAGACTACGAGTTCAACACAAGCAGTCGCCGAACAAAAGACTTGTTCGCTTTGAAACACACTGACGTGATTAGAGACCCACATCCAACTGATTCTCTGCAATCCAGGATCTTTTTCAAATACAAAGCAACATTCGCCATCCAATCCTGTTTGTCATGCCGCTTTTGGGTGCGTGCGGTGTCGACGATACCTGTTCTGGAAAGTCGCCGAGGCGGCCGACGTGGAGGTCACGGCAGACGTCGGCAGCACACCCGAATTTGGGGTATTTCGGCAGCCGGTGTGGATTCATGTTTCCGAGCCAAGAAATTGAAGCCACGGGGGCACACAGGCTGAATGGTTGTGTTTGCATGAGCTTGGAATGAAGCAGGGAATCGAAGGCCATAATATCATGAACCACAAGCCAGACAACTCAGACTTTTGTTGAAACTCAATGGATACATTAAAAAAGCTATGTTATTTCCTCATGCTTAAGAAATCAAGGCCCCCTGCACTGAAAAATCAGCAGGCATCTAACATCCATATCTGGGTATGCCAGCCTTCAGCTCCGATCCCGGCAACGTAACGTAATTTACAAGACACATGACATACATCAACCCTCAATTCAGGCAACCGAGCCCAATAACGTAAAACGAATATTGTAGAGAAAAAGAAATCAGCGGATAATGACCTCCCCTTCCTGCCCGCTAGGCACATGGGCAGGTAAGCCGCGCGAAAAGCGGTTTAGACACCCGCAGTCTCGGGCAACTTCCCGCCCACCCCAGGCTCCGCAACATTCACCTTACTCCCCGAGCCCAACGCCCGCCCCTTCTCCTTGACCTTGACCTTCTGATCATGCATATACTCCCTGAATCCCCTGCGAATATGCATCGAGGCCCTCTTGCCGCGGATGCTCGTCAACGTCCTCAACGGCTGGGGCGCCTCAAACGAGTCGGTATCGCTCGGCGCGCCGCCCTTGCGTTGCTCATCTGACACACCCTTCTCGAGCCTGTCGGCCTCGTCCTTCTTGGCCTTCTTCTTGCTCTTCCTGTTGAACGGCCAAAAATTGAGTTTGACGTGCGGCACCAGGGCCGCGGCCCAGGCGTCGGGGAACTTGCGGATGACCGCGCCCGCCGGCAGCGAGATGGCGCCGAGTCCGATGGACAGGGCCCACTCCACGCCGTTGAGCCGCGTGATACGGAAGGCCTCACCGCCGACAAAGATAATGAGTACCTGGCCGCCGATCATAATCAGGTTGATGCCGATGAAGAAGTAGTTGCGCGTGATGCCCTCGAGGAAATTGAGCTTGTTGTCCAGACGGCGGTTGCTGGGAGGAGAGAGAGCATGTTAGTAAAATTGGTATTCAAAAGGGGCGTAAAGGAGGAACTCACTTGATTTCGTTGAAGATTTGCAGCCAGACAAAGGTGTTGAAGATGAGCGTCTTGAGGCGCGTCGCGTCATGCTCGCTCGACAGGTCGTACCAGCCGAGCAGGCTCGCGCCTGCAAAGTTAAGAACTAGTGTTATGACGAGCTGTACAATGGCCTGGCCGATGATCATTTTGCCCATGCGAACCGTGATGAGGCTGGCCGACTTCTTGTCGGGCAGTCGGTCCAGGATGGATGGTCCGGGCGGGTCGGTGGCCAGGGCAAGCGCCGCGAAGGTGTCCATAATCAGGTTGACCCAGAGAAGCTGAACGGCGTTGAGCACAGACTCTTCTTCGTCGCTGGCGACGGAGCTAATAAATGTGAGGGCGACGGCAGTAACGTTGACGGTGAGTTGGAACTGCATGATATCGTTAGTCTTTCATACAATCGTCGTCTCGTTAGAGGAAAAACATACCTGCAAAAACTTCTTGACAGAGTCATTGACCGCACGACCCCAGCTGATACCCTTCACGATCGACGCAAAGTTGTCGTCCATGAGAATGATCGACGCAGCCTCCTTGGCAACCTCAGTACCAGCGATACCCATGGCAAATCCGATATCCGCCATCTTCAGAGCCGGCGCATCATTGGTGCCGTCACCGGTAACAGCAACGGTCTCACCCAGCTCCTTCAGGGTCCGCACCAGAATCCGCTTATCCTCGGGACTCGAGCGAGCGAGCACTTGGAGCTTGGGCACCAGCTCCTTCAACTCCTCCTCGCTCTTGCGGCGGAACACGGGGCCCTCCATTGCAATGCCGCCCTCCTCAGGCTTGTAGATGCCGCATTCCCTGGCGATGGCGCGACCAGTCAGAATGTTGTCGCCGGTAACCATGCGCACGGTCACACCGGCACGTCGGCAGTCCTTGATGGCGTCGATGACGGACGGCCGGAGCGGGTCCTTGATGCCGTAGATGGCCACGAGCGTCATGTCACTGTGGACCTTGTCGAATACAGCGGCCGTCACCTCGTCATGGCCGGCGAGTTCCGGAGGCGGCCACACATCGAAGTCGCGGTAGGATGAACCGATCGTGCGGAGCGTTTGGCCGGCGTAGGACGTGATGGTCTGCGAGAAGACGGCCCGGTCTTCCTCGGTAATCTCAGTCGTCACAAGCTCCTCGGCCGCAGGGTCGGCAATGACCGTGGTGCACTTGGACAGGAGGATTTCAGAGGCGCCCTTGGCGTAAGCCCGGAACTTCCCGTTGGGAAGCTTGACAACAGTCGCCATGTACTTGACCGCCGAGTCGAAGGGTATAACCTGGACGACGTTGGCGTTGGCACGCTCCTCCTGGACCGGGCCAGCTCCAAGGTGGTCACGGCAGAGAGTAAGCAGAGCAACCTCAGTCTTGGAGCCGATAAAAGTCTTCTCGCCCTCGACGTCGCCCTCGAAAGCGGTCGAATTCACGGCGTTAGACTGTATTAGGAGCTGCTTGGTTGTGTTGCTGAGACCTTTCACGAACTCGCCAACGGGCACGTTCGGAATGTCAATCTCGACCGGGTTGGCAGCCTTTTCCGGGTCCTCCTCAAGCGGGGGATCGGTCCCACCAAAGCTGAGACTCTTGCCGAGCGTCGTAGCCACAACCGTCATCTTATTCTGGGTCAACGTGCCAGTCTTGTCGGAGCAGACCGTGGTGGCATTCCCCATTGTCTCGCACGCCTTCAAGACTCGCACCAGATTATTGTCCTTCATCATGCGCGTAGTCGCAAACGCAAGTGCCAGCGTAACCGCCAGGGGTAGACCCTCAGGCACCGCAACCACAACCACGGTAACCGAGGTAATGAAGATGCGCAGAAAGTCCTGGCCCTTCTTATCCGGGCTGTCGTGGTTGTTGGGCAACTGAGCCAGGAACTTAATGAGCAAAATGACGAACAGCAGCAGGGCAGAGCCGCCGCCAAACTTGGCGATCCCGTCGGCCAAAACGTTGAGCTTCTTTTGCAGAGGCGTGTCTTCCTGGTCGGTATGCATCGACATCATGATGCGGCCATAGCTGGAATTGACGCCCACGGCCGTGACCAGAAAAGTGCCGGTACCCTCGTTGACCTTGCTGCCTGAGATGATGAAGGGGTCGAGCTTCTCAATGTCACCGGGCGGTGTACCTCCCTTGGCGACGCTGTCAAGCACCGCAAACACTTCGTCGGCCGGGACCTTCTTGAGCAGGTCCGACTCACCCGTCGCAGAGGACTCGTCGCATTTGACACCATGACCGTTGATGAAGATACCATCAACCGGAACCAGATCACCGGCAAACAAGTGCATGACGTCGCCGACCATAATATCGAAAACCGAGACCTCGACCGACTTGCCAGAGCGGATAACCTTGACTGTGCGGTCTCCGGCCCTCTTATTAAGCGAATTGAATTGCCTCTGCATCTGCCAGTCGTTGAGCGTGCCGACGGCCACGACGATGAAGATGGCGACCATGATGGCGACGCCCTCGACCCATTCGACCTTGGCCGCGCCGGGCTCGTGCTCAACACCCAAGGTCTGGTACAGACCCAGCGCCAGCGACACCACGGCTGCAACGGTCAGCAAGATCAGGACTTTATCATTGTAGGTGATCCAGGCCAGTTCCAGCAGCGATTTTGCCTTCTTCTCCGGTAACCTGTTGTCTCGGAAAATGCGCTTGCGGTCGGCGAACTGGCCGCCGGGATGTTGGAGAGCTGGCTGTTCGGCAGCCTTTGCGGTAGGCACCACATCGCCTCGGCTGCCGTATTTGGGCGTGCCCTTGGGCGCGACGTCCTCAAAAGCCACGGTGCCCTCGAGGGTGGTCTCGTCGGTACTCAGGCCAGCTTTTCGATCGGTGCGCAGGCCCCTCTCGAGCCCCGCCAGGCCGCCGAGCGCATAAAAGGCATCGAGACTCTTGGGGTTGAGCAGCTTGGCCAGCTGGCCGGGCGAGAAGGCGAATTTGTTGTCCGTGACATCGTACATGTCTTCGTTTGTCTGATCCGGGCTCAGCGCATCGTGGAGGTTTAGCTGGAAGCCGCGCTTGGCTCCACTGGCGCTGGGGATCGGTGCTGTCGCCGGCGCATCGTCGGCTCGGAGCGTCGTCGTCGATGACGTCTCGCGCTGGTGAAGGTCAGACATGGTCGCCGGGAAGGTCTGCAGGAGATGCTCGCCAAGTTCAGGTCGAGAACACATACCTCGTCATTTGGAAGGGCAGGGTCTGCCATTGGAAACACCGTGATATTGCTCGATTGATCAATGCATCAAGGTGAAACAGAAGATGCGCGGTCAAGATCACCGCGCAGGGTGGCCCTAATAAAGGCGGCAGCAAGAGGGCAGCAGCGATCCAGCGATAGATGATGCAATACCTCCGTAAACTGGTAACTACTGTGGTAAGGTTTGTGGCGGAAGAACACAAGAGGCCTCCGTACATACGGCAAATTGTGTGCATGAGATGTCGAGGCATGGCAAAAACCTGGAACAAAGGGGTATGTTGTACGCCGAGACCTGATGACGATATTGGGTCAATCTGCAGAACGCCTAGCCGTCTTGGCAGGTACGACAGTAATACTTGCACAGTGCGCGTGTGGCCAAGTTGCTTTCCTGAACAGAGCAGCAGTGCCCCGGCTCAGCCACTGGCACACATCATCAACGGCAGAAAGCCGATGAAGCCCGTCATGAGACACTGTGTACAAGTCGATCCAAGTACTAGCCCATCTCGCCTGATGCGACTAAACATTTCAAGCACTCCAAGCATCAGGATTAGCGACGCCGAGGCCAGCGTGGACATGCTTGGCATGAGTTGTCCAACATTTCAACTGGATGGCAGGCGCCGATCAGCTTGCGGCATCGCGGATTTTCGTCCGGGCCTGCGACGGGACACAAAGGAAAAGAAGCGGTAAGCTGCGACGTACAAAGGGCATCACCGCAAGTCTCCTTTTATGGTATATTTAGCGTGCTCTGACGCCCGACGCCCGACCGTCGCGAACCAGTCCGGGCGGGTCATCTCTCACTTTTCGCTCTCGGACGCTGGAATCGAAAGGCGCATGCAACAGATTGAGAAAGGCACAGCTAGCAAACGGAATGCGACCAACCACGGCAGCGCCACAGGTTTCTCGAAATGCCTGACGAACAGGCGCTGCGATCCCAACCGATCCAGCACCCGCAGATGTGCCTGCATGGCCCGATCCGGCGTCCACGAGGCGCTTCGAAACAAAGGGAACACGATGTTTGTTGTGGAAACATTTGTGCCATGGAATGTTTGTTTTGGTTGTTGGGGGAGTCCTGCGGCAAGCGACGGCGGCACAGCGAGCCCATTCGGAACCAAACGTCGCAGACCAATCACAACATTCCAATGGCCCACGATGCTAGGCCCCACATGAAGGTTTTCAAGCTTCAAAGGCTTCGGTATCCGCCGAGTTGGATCAGTGATGGTCTGCAAGATTCCGCCTTGTCCAAGCCAGTCCCGCCGTGTTGGTTCTATCAGCGTTTGCGCCAGCAACAGTCCACCGCGCACTGCCCCAGTTGCGCAAACTGGGCAGTTGGGACTCGTGGCCCTCCATGTCCGGACAGCCATTGTGACGCCGCGCGTGGCTAGTGGCGAGTTGCACATGCGACGAGCTGCCGTTGGAGGCCTGAGATGCTCGGGAACTACGACAAACGAAAGGTAGTGCCACGCGTCAGCAAAGGAACACGGTGTCCATTGACTGCAAAACTCGTGCATTGAGAGGGACTGGTGGTTACCGAGGTGAACGTCGTCGTGAGAATGCCTCGCTGACCGCCTTGTCGCATCGCTGGCGCCAAGAACGTGCCCGATCCTATCGGACCCACATAGGCAAATTGGACGTCAAAAGGCTCCAGCTTGCAAGCACTCTGGATTGGCGACACTTCGATATCGTAATTCAATATCCTGAACTCCGAACCACCTGGAAGAATGTCATTTCGGGTGGCTCAGTTTGACGCACAATGGACATGCTGTGAGGCGGACCTAGCTCACCTCAGACGAGACGACTCGAACCATCCGTCAGTATCCCGACGGCGAGAACTCTGACACTGGCATGGACGGCACTACGATATCATGGAGAGTGCCTCGCCAATGCTACGACATGGACGGGGCTTGGACGGTGCAGACATCGTTGAAGTCCTGGCTGTTTGTCTGTACTTCTGAAATAACCCGGATAGGGCTTGGCTTCATTACCTACCCAGGGAATAATGGGCTGTTTGGCAAAGAACATCAGTCGTGCTCAGCCTGGTGAAAGGGTTGTGCGATTCGCCATGGCAGCTTAGAACCCTCAACATCAAGGTAAGTCGTTCCGATGTTCGATGGATGAGGTGACGCTGGCTGGCTATTCTTGCTTACAGATGATGTGGACACTGGGCATGGAACACTGCTGTTCCCGGTGTCTCCAGCCGGGCTCTCGTTGGTGTCGGAAACACCCCGACATGGTCACTCCTGATAGCCCTGGGAAAGGAAAATTGATGACCCAAGTTTTCCAACTGGATGAAGGTACCAAATCCGCGGAAGGAGGAAGCTAGTTAAGGCCCGGCATTGGCAAGTGACCACAATAACTCTTTGCTCTGGTGCCATCAATACCTCAGCCCAGAAGCAGAGTCGTTGAACGGTGCTACGGCACTTGTCTGGTTGAGCCTACGATTGCAACTATACGAAAGCTCCCTGGTTTCTTGGACCTGTATGGTAGGTGGTCTGTATGGTAGGTGGTCTGTATGGTAGGTGGTCATACCTAGCCAGACTCTCTTCAAGTTTGCCATCGCGGGGTGTGCACTAAGGCTGAGGTTGGTCAGGGTCTTACCTACCCAGTAATTTAAACGAACCACTAGTCTGCGTCATTGACATCGTCAGCACTAGTGGCCAGGAAGACATAATTAGGTCCGCGCTGCATAACCCCCAATGCAGCTGACTAGGAATTATCCGCTTCGAGAACCCCCTGAAAACTGTAACAACCACGGCCCTCAGCCTAGCCGTGAGCCAGAGAATGGCGTGCGAGCTGCGACTGCTCGTGTACGCGGCGAGAGATGACGTATATAGATATAAGGTAACAACAAGAGAGAAATATCTTGAGTTAGACGCCGAAAAGAATGCAAGAGCTGAACCAACAAAATTGAAGCCCAAGCACCCTGACCAAATCCCGTTGTGCTTGAAGCACGGTCAGGTCCCCTTCTGGTTTAAGACGGCAGCTTCACCTGGCCTCTTCTGCTCCCAGCCTCCACTGCCTACAACTGACTTGTTTTCCCTCCGACTTCAACTCGTAGCCTAGTAGCAAAATACATCACGAAACGCCGATTTTTAAAGCAGATGGGTGTGGATGAGACGGAAGCTGTTCAGCTGAACCGTTCACATTCCAGCTTTGACGCTTCTTGAACCTTCAACTGCTATGGTAAAGTGTGGCTTTGCTACAGCAAGTCAAAACCAGCAGCAGAAAGGCGTCGACAGCCGGCATTCTGATATTCATAGACAAGCGGGGATCCATAACGGCCGTACGTGGTGTGTGAAGTATGTAGCGTGTGATTTGTACCAAATGAGTGAGCCTGGACCCAAGCAAGATCTGGACAGCGGTATTATCCCTTTGGAGCAGCACCTAATGCCGACGTCTCCTGAGCGGGGTCTGTGTGAATCTTCGCCGTGAGCACCAGATTCGTGTCAATGGTAGTGGAGATACATGACCTCCAACGCACCCTAGTTCTCGCCCTCTCCTTATCGCCCCAATACTGAGACTAAGCCACATACAAAAATCCATCATAGCGGTCGCGGTTCAGTCATGATTGGCGATATTCCACTCGTCGTAGAGCCTGAAAGATTGATCTCGTCCTTGTCCACGAGTATTCAAGGACCCGAGAGTCATACTGCGGACGCAATAAAGCACTCATCCTGACGAACCAGCTCTACCTATCCATAGTGGTATGCCTTTGACATGTCACTGATACCCGGTCGGTGTTGTCACGATGTTCAAGCGCTTATTCCGGAAAAGACCCAAATGACATTGGGTCGGAACGAAGCCGCCTTGATGGCTGCATTTAACGGACCTCGGTGGTTGATTGGTGCCAGCACTGCAACCCCTCTTCCTTACATACCGTAATGGGAAAATGCACCAGGCGGGTATGATACTTCGCATTCCAGGGATACAATCTGCCGTTGATGTGTCAACTAGCATTCCCACCGCAAGTAGCATTCCCAGCACAACTAGCGTTCCAAGCGCTCCGCTCTCTGATTGGCTGGTAATTCTTTCGGTCATGCTCAATCCGGCTGGTCGATCAAACTGTGGCAATTGGCGCTACTGTAAGCCACTGTAAGCTACCTAAGCCACTGTTCGCGGACGATGACAACTCACCATACCTAATCCCTTTTGAACAACGCACAAATGCTGGACATGAAGATACAAAACGAGGAATTGAGTCTTCTCTTTTTCTTACTGTTCTTAGTAAGACATCATCTAACGCTAACGTTATTCTTAAACACACATTATATACTGCCACTGGCATCAATCGGATGCGGCGATACAAGCAGAAACCCGGCGGAGGGTGACACACACCAGAGTCGGCTCGATCATCCATCCAACAGTCGCAGGCACAGTAGAGAGATGTCTTAAAGATTGTGACGGGCACCACCCAAGGTCTGGTCAGCTCGCACATACAAGATCAATATTCCTACGAAGAGAGCAAGAGCTAGATGACAGGAACGGGCGTGCAACCAGACCTATATGCTGGAGCACATGCCTATGATACAATCATGAGAACAGTGACCACAGGCATATAACATGACCATGAGAACAGGAACGGGGATCCCGTGGCAAAGATGCTACTGAACTGTATCGATATCTGAAAACAATGTAGCAAGCTGACCGATCAAGATACTGCCCAGGTTACCGCAGACTGCAACCAGTGGTATCCTGCTTTAAATCGGCTGGCGGGCTCGGAGGAGAGCGGGCCGAGAAGCTGGAATGACTGATGTGGTCCTCCTGAGAGGTGCGACGCTTAAGCTAGGAACCATCATCCACCCGTGCGCCACGTCCAAGCCGGGTTCTCTGCTGTTGCTCGACAGATTGAGACATGTGTTTGCCGGAACGCCCGCTACCCGCGCCTTTGCCCCGGGAGGCCGGAGTACTACTACGTCTAGCTGTGACCCCACGAGTATTGGTGCGAACTGTCTGCGTGTATAGGACATAGCCCGAGTATGCGGCTGCGAATTACCTTGAGGGTGCCCGCTTCTAACCGCACCCGTCGTGAATCGTGAAGGCCGCGGTGGGCCGGTTTGCGTGGTGTTTTCGCCGGGATTGGCCATATTCTGTCGTATTGGCGATAAAAAAAAACAGCTCAAATTGATGCGATCACCACCTGCCAGTTGCAGTGGTGCTGTTGGGGTTGATGGCGCGGTCGGTGGTTGTGGTAAGAGGTGGCCATACAAATAGTATCGGGTCAAAGACATCGCGAAGTGCATCGCATCGCGTCATGGTGATGTCGCATTTGATCAAAGCGGCGCCGTTTAGGGGTTTGTGCGGCTTCCAGTATGCGATAGGAAGGAAGGAACGGCCGTCCCACCCCAATCAGCGAGCCGTCTGCTCAGGTAGCCACAAACTCCCGTCTCTCGGAATTTTCCTGGCAACAACTGCCTACCGACGCGTTCTTCTACCCTATCACAAACCAAATTTCCATTCAAACGCCATCAGAAGTGCCAACAGCGTGAAGATGTCCGACCAACCGAAGGGTCTGAAGTCGCGCCGCCTTCACAATACGGCACGCAAGCAACATCTATCGGCGCAGAAGCCGGAGTCTCAGTCTGGTGACAGTGGCACGGGGCCGAGGCAGTTGGCATCCTCTGCTTTTGACGACGATACCCATTCCGCGAGCCCACAAGACCCAGAAATCCTACCTGATGTGCCGATCTATGGTATTGAGAGCGCCGATGGTATTGGCGACACTGATTTCGATGATGACCATCTGTTCCCCCAATCAGATACCGATTCTGGTAACGAAGAAGGTGAGCTATTCCGACGTTTTACGGATAACAACGCTGACACTAGTGCCAGCCATCGTTGATGTCGACGCGCTTCGAGCCGGCGGCATTGAAAATGCGACGTCACATACTCTTCGACCCCAATTCGATATGAGCGATGTCCTTGGAGCTGGCGAATACGAAGAGTGCATTTGGGTCGGAGAGGCTCAGCCAACTGAAAATCTTCCGTTCGATGATGAAGGAATACTGCCCGAGGAAGATGACCGAGAGTCCACCAGCCAACACGGTTCACCGATGCGATATACCGACATCGAAGACACATCGGTATTGGTTCCGATGCGCCAGAACAAGTCGATCGAGACATCCAGCTTCGAGAAGGCTCTTGCGACCTTTGCCGATTTGGTTGGTCTAAGCCGCCAAGATTGGGCATCCCTTCGGGAGGTGCTTTTCTTGATCCGCGACAAAGATGGCAGTGTCCCTTCAGTGATACAGAGCCTCCCGAAACAGCTCTCGACACTCCGAGACCGTATTCGCCGCCGGATGCCGATGATGAATATGCGCGAGGCCGACATCCCTCTAAACATCTTGAAGCTACCGACAATGCCAGCCAGTTTGAAGCTCGAGGAGCGTCGCAAGGTTGAAATCGCACGGGCTCAGGCAGAAAGCAGAAGTGCAGCCCTCACTGCTACCAGAGCAGCGACCAGGATCTCCCGCGATAAAGGTAAGCACAGCACCGAAGCACGAAACGCGGTAGCAGCAGCAGAGAAGGCTAAGAGCCAGTTGGACAGCCTCCGACAAAAGCACGGTGATATCAGCCTCAAGGACCTTCCGAGGGTGACGATGCGGCTAACGTTTTTCGACCCTATCACCGTTTTTAAGAACATCATCGCATCCGATATCCTAGGCAGGATACATACAGGCCCAGGCTTGTTCGTCGACAAACCTCGCGAGTTGTTTCATTCGCACGCTTGGCTGTCCTCGGTCCGTAGCACATCGGGCTTTTACGCACATGTCATCATCGACGGCATACAAGGACCGGCCATCTTCCCTTCCGATTGGGTATACTTCCGATGTACATCAGAGAACTGCGTCTGGAATTGCCGCGACATCGGGGACGACTCTGACGACATTGTCAATCTACATATCGGCCGGGTCTATGGTGTTGGGCTCGATCACCGCGAAGATCCATGCACACAACTTCGAAACCAGATGTGCCTACAGATTCAGGAGGCATACCGACTTGGCGACCACCGACTCGCAAACATTGAAATCACACCACCACAGACCGACCGGGAGTTGGTACTGTCAGCGAACCTGGTTTATGTTCCGGAGACCAGTGTATTTGGGCATCTCCATGTGTACATTGACCACCACACTGGCGAGGAACACGAAGATCCTGGCTGGAAGCCGCCCCGACGTACGAAAGGACCACCTCCGGAGCCTCTGCCCAAGTACGTCAGGCCGGTATTCGCGAGGGTACGTAGGGAGGATGAGTGGTACGAGTGTCGGCGCATTCTGGTCAAGAAGGAAGTTCTCCCGCTCTGTCGGACGCATTCAATCCGTGCAGAGCTCGAACTCCAGCATTTTGGTCGACATGTATTTGAGCGCGAGTGGGATCAGGCCAAGAACGATATGCCCGTCGTCTCCCTTCCCCACCTCGATTTCATTGATGGTTTCGGTGTGTTCCAAAATTCGTACCGGACTTTGATGGGGTTTTACTTCACGCCAGCAGGACTTGGTGAAGAGGAACGTCTTCGACCAGGCAGTATTTTTCCGATTGTACTTGGGTAAGTTCAGCTTCCTATCTAACGTACCTCTTGTATTACTCAACTGTCCGCGATCTTCACCCTTCGAGGGTGCCGACTTTAGGCATACAAACTTGCCTCATAATGGCAGGTTTTTTTTCATATTTCACACTGACACCGGAGTGGTAGGCCTCATGCATCTGACTTCGGCGATGTCATAAAAGCGCTCAAGACGATGGCGCATCTCGACGCCGGTATCGTCATGACTATCCGTGACGAAACCGTCCGTGTCTGCGCATTTGCGATGTGTTACATTGGTGATATGCCTCAACAAGCCGAGAACTCCGGATTCAAAGGCCCACGAGCACACAAGTTCTGCAGATGCTGTTTCGCGGCCTCCGGCCAATGCGCCGTCAATCCCGATGTCATGCT